CTGGAAAGTGACCTGAGATGACATGATGTGAATTGGAGCTATAGAAATAAACTGAATAGACAGTCATAAATGATATTGATGAGGATGATCATCATCATGATAATAATGATAGTGATGATGATGATAATGATAATAGTGATTAGTGATAATATCTCATTCTGACATTGCTACCAGTGTGTGCAAGCAGGGATGATAACTATTATTTCTGACTCACAGGGTTAATGGGTGATGAAGATGTTTATGATCATTTAATGATGATGATGATAATGATGATGATGATGTTAATTATGATGATGATGATGATGATGTCACCCTGTGCTGCAGGTGTCTAGCCTGTGTCAGCTCCTCCTGGAGCTGTAACTGGTGTCCTCTGGATCAGCTGTGCACTCACACCTATAGCTGCCCCAGCAAGAACTTGATCCAGAACCAGAAGGTCAGTCCGCTGATAACCATCGATCGTTCTCAGTCTGTCCACCTGTCTGACTGTCTTCTGGTCTTCATCTCTACAGGACGCTCCTGGTCCCAGCTCCTGCCCTCTGGTCTTCTCACTTAGAACTTCTGCTCTAGTGCCAATGGGCTTTAACACCACTATTGTGTTGGAGGGTCGGAACCTAGATGTCTTCATGGTGAGACTGTTTTTAAATAAAGCCCCTCGGCTCCCCAGCTAACTAAACGTCAACATGTAAGGAGAACTACTGATACCAACATCTCAAGTTCTCCCTGAATCTGTTTAAATCTTCAGGACGAAGCTCCGTATGTGTGTGTTGTTGAAGTTGAGGACGTGCAGTTTAACCTGACAGCTGCTGTGCAGAAAACAGAGGACGGCACCAACATCTTCACCTGCAGCTCCCAGCAGGTAAACACACCTGCCGGCAGAAAAGGTTCCCACAGCCTTCAAGTCACTGAAGCTGCTCTCTGTGTCGTTAGTTTCAGTTTGGCCTCAGTCAGCTGCAGTACTCTGCTGCCATCTACCTGCGCAGAGGACAGAGACGCATCGACTCATCGCCTGGACTCAGACGTAAGAAACTCACCTGTTTCCCTCTGCGTGTTGGAGTAGCCCAGTAACAGACCCTCAGGTTCCAGTTCCAGACCAGTAACAGACCCTCAGGTTCCAGTTCCAGACCAGTAACAGACCC